AGAAGATCCCTATGCGCAAAGTCGGCCTTAATGGTTTCCTGTAACGAAACTATATCGATGCGCTCCTTGGCCATATATTCCCGGAGCTGCGTGCGACGCCCTACGTGCCCACAACCCCGAATATTCCAGAATAAAAATCGCATTACAACACTCGGTTACGGAGGCGAACTCCTCGCGAGCTCACCGCCTTTTGCACACGCTTCCTAGCCGGCACACGACTGGAAGAGGGTAAGTCAGAGCCTTCCCTCGGCTCTGCTTCCCCTTCTGGCACCACCACCACCAACTGCCCCCCTGGGCAGTTTTCCTGTGTATCCGAGGCCTGGCAACGCGCTGCCGCCTCGGCCAAGGCAGCCTGAGCCTCCTCACGCGCCCGGACTAACGGGATAATATCAACAGAGCTAGACCCCAGCTCCACTCCACTATCAAGTAAAATCGACGCAAGATGGTCGTCTGAGAACGCGCTGAGAATTGTAAAAGAGGGAAGGGGGTTACCTGACACGTCCAAGTTCTTGTCCGCTACCCTCAGCTTCGCGCTCTCCAGAGAAGACAGATCCCCCAGCTTGGCCTTCGCCCTAGTGCTTGGTTCCCGCGTCGCCACCGGCGTGGCCTTGGAGCGCTTGGCCTTGCAGCCCACATCACCCGCCGCCAACTCCGACCCCAGCTCGCCACGCAGGGACGCCGCCATGCTTGCAGCAGGCTGAGCCGCGGTCTTGGGACCCGGCTTCCTGCCCGCCGTCTTCTTGGGCGGCCTGCCCGCTCCCCCGGAGCCCCGCTTTCCGGAGCCAGGAGTAGGGCTATCCTTGTTGAGCTCAGCAACCTCGGCCTGCGCCGCCAACGGAGAGGAGGGAATTGCAGTCCTCCCCCCCTCCAGCCCTGCGCCAACCACTGTCCCCGATGCCAGGACCAAAGAGGGGCGAGGTGTAGGTAGCAGCTGCGGTAAGTTGGATCCGTACTCGTCAAAGGCACCTGCCAAGTCACGCGCCACGTTCGGGCCGCTAACTGCCGTGTCCTGGGTCGCCACCACCATCGCCTGCCCTTCCATCACGCCTAACTGGTTGCATGTCTCTGTGTCAATGGAGGTGTCCAGCATGCTGTCTTCGAGATCCTCTTCTTCCCCTCCCATAACCACATCCAAATGCCGCTGCCCAGAGCCCTGCCCAGCCTCTGACCCGCCTTTATCAACACAAGGACCCGCCGGATCCGTGGCCCCCTCTTTGGGTGGGGGTGGAGGCTGGGGCGCGCCCGAGCCCGAGCCCGAGCCCCCCACACCCGACCCCGCGCCACCCACGCCCCTACGCGGGTTCGGCCGCTCCACCTCGACCTTAACTTGATACCCTTCATGGTTAAACCAAACTTCCACCGTGCCATTCAACTTCTCTGGTGCCTTGCAAGCAAGTTTCATCCTTACCGGCCCCAACCGGATAAGCGACATTTCATCCACCACAATTGGGCGCCCCAGCATCTTAAAGCCTTCCTTGACCCTATCCTCCCTGCGGCGTTTTTGTGGGATGCCGTGAAGCTTAACCCACACTTTCGGCATGCTCATCGGTTGGATCACCTCATACAGTCTGTCCTGCACCCTTGCGGTTATGTCATGAGAGGGGAGGAAAAGTTTTCCACTTGACTTGGCCATGTGCAGAAGATCCGCAGAGGGGAACACCACCAGGAAGTCATCGTCGCCCACCTGCATAACCTGCCAGTCCCAATCACTTGTGACGATGTTCTTGAGTTCCTGTTTCAGAATCTTTAGGTTAAGTTTGCCCAGGTCCGCCGAGAGGATTGCCGCATTAGCCACCTTCTGGTCCACCGGTCGTTCCTCCTCCGCATCTTCAGCAAATTCGAGACAAAAGAAGCCCTCTCCCGTAATCGCACTCCCCATAATCTGAAGCTTAACTGCCTTGCCACGCGAAGGGCAAGCAGCGGAGGCATGGCCCTCCTCCTTGCACAGCACACATAGTGGCTTGAAAGTGCACTTGGATTGGTAGTGTCCAAGTCTGCCGCACTTGAAGCACTCCACCTCCGGCACATCTTCCACCGGGATTGGCTCCCCCACCGTTCCCTTTGCTGTCAGGATCGGCGCCCCCCGCGCGCCTCGGCCGACGCCCGCTGCTGCTGTGCCAGGGGATCCCCATGACCCCCGCCGCACAAGGGGTGCGCCACCGCCTTGCGTTCCAGCTCCCGACGCCGCTGCGCGGCCTTCTTCCTTTGCTTCTTTTCTTGCTGTTGCTGGATCCACCATGGCGGAGGAGGACCCCAATCCCCCTCGCGACCCTGTGGCTCCGCCTGCGTGCCGTGCTCCTCCCGCGCCGCACGAAGCTCCCTCTCGCCTCTGTCATCTCCTCTGTCGCGCATCGCCCTCTTCGCCTTCTCGCGCAGATCCCGCTCCCGCCTGCGCTCCGCCTCCAGATCCGCCGTCTCCATCGGCCTCTTCTCCGCCCGCCGATCCGCCGCCTCCATCGGCCTCTTCTCAGCCCGCCGGTCCCCCATCACCGCCTCCGCGAAGGATCTGCGAAGGGGAGAGAGTGGGGGAGCAAGCTTGATGCGCCGAGCCAGGTGAGCCCAGCGCCGCACTTCTCTTTTGGCAGCAGGAAACCCTAACCAGGGCTCCCGACTGCCCTTTGCCACCCATATATACCCAAGCGCAGGGCGACTGGGCTGACCAGGTGGGCTGGACCGCTCTCGGCCCAGCGTAGGCCGCCCCGGGCCCTCCACCACAGCCACTTCCAGCCTGGGCGACCCCGCGCAAGCCGAGACGGGCCCCGCCCCATCAGGGCCCACGACGGCCCGGCACCCGGTTCCCGCAACCCTAGGTTCCATCGCCAGGGACGCACCTGCCCCGGTCCCCGCCGCCGGCATCGCCGCCGCCGCCGCCACCGTGCAGCCGGGGGTGGGGGTGCAGGCCAGACGCGACCACTCCCGCTCGCCTGTCGCCGCCGTCGACGCCTCCCCTGCGCCAACCAGCAGCCCCGCCAATTTGGACCGAATGGCCCCGGCTGCCACCGCCGCAGCGTTTCCACTTGGCGGCGTCGCCGGTTTCCAAACACGCGCCGCCAACGCCCGGTGGCCCCTACCTCCCGGCGCGAACCTACGCCTCCGCCGCGCCGACCCAGGCTGCTCCCTCGCAGCGAACGCCACAAAGTCGCCAATCGTTGGTCCCGCCGGCGCCGCCCTTCGGCCCCCCGCAGCGCAATCTGCCGTCTCGCACTCCGACTCCGCCTCCGACTCCGACTCCGACCCCACAAGGGCCCAAAAGCGGCTGCCCCCCGGCCGTGCCGCCCTGCCCGCCGGCGACTCCGGGGCCGGGGCTTGCGGGCCGCGCCCCGGCGGGCTCCCCGAGCCCCTACGCACCAGCTGCCAGCCGGTCGCCGACGCCGGCCTCGCCGACGCGCGCACCGCGCACGCCCGTTCGCCCGCCCCTGTCTCCAACGGCTCGCTCATTCGCTCGTCGTCCTCCATCTCAATTCTAAGTTGCTCGTACATACTGTCTAGTCAACCAGGCAACTCTCTTGTGCTTAATTAATAGACGGTGCTTAATTAATAGACGGGACAAAACTTTTGCCTCCGTTTCAAAAAAAAAGAATTAATGGAAATTGTATTAATTGCAGTGAATCTTGGGAACAACATTAACTGCACAAATAAACTTTGAATGGCCTACCTTGATTGCTTTCTCTTCACTCAATCATATCTGACCACGACCAATCTTCAAATTAGAAGTGCGGGAGAAATTTTGTTCATGCACCAATGAGATGCAGTTTACGTTACAGACTCTATGACTGTCAAAAGACGTCGAGCTAGACCGGAGTAGATGAGAAGCTACATCACCAAGGACGACAACTCATATGTCACGAGTTAGAACCTTATCGCGCTGATTGAAACTAGTAAACTGTTAACACAAGCATGCACTGCTGACTGAAATTATAACAAACTAGGTTGCATCCATACTCTTCTTTCAGACATAAGACAGCACAATCTTAAGGTATCAACCAAACCTGCAAACAAAGCAATCAACGGGATAGGGCATTGACAGATCACGGATATGCTTCTGAAAGAGCATCTACCCCATCTACAAAACAACAGTTGCTGAAAGGGTCGGCAATTGACAAGTCCTGGGTATCCAGAGTAATACCAACTAGAACTTCTTCCAAATTTCAATCGGGCATCTTGAGAAGCTCTATTTTGTATTTTCCACTTCTAGCAGCCTGAGTTGGTCAGTCATCCATTTCTTGTGTATATCAATCTTCTTACACACTACAAAGTTGATTTCCTTCACCACTTCCGCATTCAAAACGAAGAACTTTGCAAATCCAACATCTTCCTCACCACCTTTGTAATTTGTTAGCACCAGTACTTTCAGATGGCTCTCAAGGCAATTGATTGGATCTAGAGGCTCATACTGACGCATATTTTTCACCTCTGCCTTTGTAGAATCGTCCCACTGGGAAGGGCATAATAAACATATGTTAAATATTTTGCTAACTAGGCTCAGAACTGAATATTCATTTTTAAATTCAAAGCAAAGAAAAATGAAAACTCACAATGACATGGAGTTTTTCCAAGCAGGGGAAGCATCTAAGGATGTCAAGAACTGCACCCAAATCAGGGCTAGAGAAATGGAGAGCCAAAACCTTTACACTGCATATTGGGTTTTCCGAGCTGGATGGGATCAATCCCTGAAGGAAACAATGGAGATTAAAAAAAAACACTCTCGAAGCAACAATGCTAGCAGATAAGAGTGTAGAGACTCGTCCTAATGTTACCTGGAAGACTGTATTAGCAATCTCAATTTCTGAAATGCTGGGACACAAAAGGCCCAACACCTCCAATTTAGGCGCCCTAACAACCCGAATAATCTCACCGCCCAAGCCCGGATAACTTAATAGTAACCTTTCAAGGCAAGGGGCCTCCTTAATGAGCAATTCTCCTTCGCCATGAAACAAAGAGCAGATGACGATGATCCTGAGTGTTGGCGAGCTAATGCGGAGGCAAGACACCTCACGAATCTACGAGAGATCTAAGCTATCCAAGACATGGCAGGCAGAGAGCACGTTCGAGAAGACATCGTCGGAGATGGAAACACGCCATAGTTTGAGCTGCTTGAGGGGGAAATTCGGTGAAGGCGCGATCTCCCTTGGGAAATCGCAGGAGGAAATGCTGACCACGACAAGGGTTGATGCTGAGCAGAACACGGACGGTGGCAACGGGCAGCGCTTCTCCTTGTCGGTCTGCTCATGTCCACCGTATTCAAGTAGATCGAAGCCGATGTCGAGCTCCTGGAGGTTGCGGAGGCTCGGGGAATGGAACCAGCTACTGATCTGCGCGGCATCCTCGGCAAACCTCTTTTTGGCCTTGTGGAGGCGGATGAAGCGGAAAGCGAAGCAGCGCGCCGGGCCGGGGAGGTCTGACAGAACCCTGGAGACGACGGAGAGGCGCTTGAACTCGTCGCGGTGAAGGTTGTAGGAGGCGTCGAGGTTGAGAGGCGAGGAGCGCCAGAGGGGACGCCATCGTCGGGCGATGGCCTGCGTGCGGGCGCCGTCCTTGGTGGGGAGGAGGGAGATGATGGTGCCGAGGACGGCGTCGGGGAGGTTGCTGATGAGGTCGCCGTCGCGGCCGCCGTCACGTGGCCGCTTCTGTGGCCTCGACCTGGGCCCAGCAGATGCGCGCCTCTTGCGTGCGGGCGCCGCCGCAGCCGGCCCCTTCATGTCCGGCGAGTAGAAAGACGGAGATCTGAGGCGGGAGCGAGGGTTTGGGGGGTTTCGCCGCGGCGCTTTGGTTCCAAACGATGGCACGGCAGTACGCCTGATGGGATGGGACGGAATGGGGAATCGGATGCGACGGAACGCGGCGACCTGGGATGGAATAATGGCCGTCACGAGCCTGTCTGCTCAGTTTGTGGGCTGGGCTGGGCCTGAGTGTTCCTTGCCGAAAATTGGTATTTTAAATTTGACTGTGACCCCATCAGTTTTTCATTAAAATTTGAATGCCCTTCAAATTAGACTCACAGCAATTACTCCATCCGTTTCGAAATACGTGTCGCTGGAGAGAAAACCAATACAACTACTGTCACATTACGAATTTTTTTCACTTTCCGCTTTACCCTCGTGTCGCCCACACCGCTCACTCCCTCGCCTCTCGCCTCTCACTCGTCACTCTTTCCTCACCCCATCGCCTCTCGTCTGCCACCTCGCCCACCTCGCCGGCCACCATCTCTCCCGTCGCCCCATCTTTCTTCCACCTCCACTCACACCCCGCCACCTCGCCCACCCTGCTCCACTATTCTCTGTCAACTACTCCCTCCGTCCGTGAATAAGTGTACATCTAGCTTTTGTCCCAAGTCAAAGTTTTAAAATTTTGATCAACTTTAAGGAAAGAGTAGTGGCATATATGACATCAAATTGATACATTATGAAACTACATTTCAAAACGAATCTAATAATACTAATTTAGTGCCATAAATGCTGCTACTTTTCTCTATAAAATTGGTCAAAGTTTTAAAACTTTGACTTGGGAGAAAAGCTAGATGTACACTTATTCGCGGACGGAGGGAGTAAAGACTAGTACTTAATAGGAACATTTGGCTCTCAGCCTCAATGGAGGTTTTTTTTTGAAAATTTTAAAATTCAAACACTTTGGTTTCAAAAAAATCAGAAAAAATTTGTGCAAGTAAATAAGGATGTTATGTGTATGTGTGTGAAATTTCAGGATAAAGTACGTTGAATGTGACCTATACAAAAAATACAAAATCATGGTCTGGGAGAATGAATAGTATCATGTGTTAAAAAATCCAGATTTGTCAATGGGAGGGCCCCGTTTTTAGGTTCAGGCCTTTACTGGAGGGAGGGCTCCGTTTTAAATATCCCTTCTAGTGCGTCCAGCATTGTCGGTGGCGTGTTGAGGTGTGTCTCCAGCGGATATCTCCTTAGTGGATTTGCTCGATCTGGTCGTATCGTCTACGTTCATGTGTCTTCAGGTTTGATCCTTCCGATCTACGCTACTTTTCAATGGTGACGGTTGTTATTCTGGTGCGCTGATCCTTTGGGGTGTTATCACAACGAGCCTCGAGCTTTTCTTCCTTAGTTATCTCTTGCCTTATCGGTTACCTTTCTTCTACCTCCAGCCACATTAAGTTCTACTCTGCTACAAAGTGTTGCATATGGCTGAAAAAAAAACGCTACAACCGATGAAATAAAAGCTGGAACCGACGAATAAAAGATCCGGAAACAAAAGCGACGGATTTTTGCGAAGCGAGATTTGCTGAAACCAACAGAGTCGGTGCTACAGCCGTGTAGAAAAGATGCTGCAACCGTGGAGGGCGGCGGACAAGAGTCTTGCTGGAAGTACCAACATGCGATGGAACCAAGAGCTGTTGCTGCAACCGGCAATCACAGAAGCTACAAACTGGTGATCGATTTTGCTTCAGTGGTGACGTGGTGGTGGCACCGACGAGCTTTTTTTTTTTGCTGAAACTAGCACAATTTTTTGCTACTACCGGCTGGCATTTTTATTGCCACCAGCAAACCCGAAGTAGAGTACCTTTTGGCGAGCTCATCGCCGGGGTGCTACGACCGGTGACCGGCGCTACCACCACCAGTGAGGGAGCTGCAACTGCGGGCGGAAGTTGCTTCATGCGTGGATTCAGCGAGAAAAACATGAGAAGACAACGGTGAGGCCAGCGACCGGTGAGCGCACAGGGTGGTGCTTCGAGGCCGGTAGGCAGCTACAAGAGCTGAGAGCAACGAGTGCAATGACGAAAGAAGACACGGGGAAGGAGACCCAATCCAACGGCTGAACGCGTCCGAATTGGGTGGCTGGGCAGCGACCGGCCCAAATTTGGGCCGGCGCACCAGCCACCTATCGTTGGCCTTTCTTTAAAGTGTCCGCTTAAACCACCGGTCAAATAATAGGGAAGAGATATACAAACAATCCCTAGACAAATACCTAAAGCAACGTTGTGCGCCATTGCAACTTCAGATTAGCAATAGCTGTAGGTATGACAAGTAAGACATACGCGAACCAAACAATACACCACTTCCAAACCCCAGATAGTGAGCTTGAACCTAGTGCTGGTATGCGTTTATATTGTTAATATTTGCACCAAGAATTTTATAATTTCCACATTACGGCCACTTGTTTCTGCAACTTGAGAAAGCAACCAAAATCCTTTCATTTAGACCAAAACCTTGGAAAATGGATCGCCTCCTTAACTCTGCCAGCCCTAACAGCAAATTATGCTGGATAGGTTACAAAGGCAGCAATGATCTTTAAAAAGTCAGTAATAGCATAAATAAAAGAATAAACTGTATTGCTCAGAACGACCCAACTTGAATGCCTTGACTGCACCAGGAAACTCTCAATCTTTAGTGCAGTCTTCATAACATAATCTGGTCCGTAGAAATATTTTAATGTGTTGGTGCTATGTTATACTCCCTTCGTCCCAAAATTCTTGTCTTAGATTAATCTAGATACGGATGTATCTAATCTAATACTCCCTCCGTCCGAAAATACTTGTCATCAAAATAGATAAAAAGAGATGTATCTAGAATTAAAATACATCTAGATACATCCCCTTTTATCCATTTTGATGACGAGTATTTCCGGACGGAGGGAGTACTAACATGACTTGATACATCCGTTTTTAGACAAATCTAAGACAAGAATTTTGGGGCGGAGGGAGTATTTGTAGAAGGGAGTCCATGGCAAAAGGAGTCTAGGATTCCTATTTTGGAAAAAGTTCCATAATGTACAGTGCTAAGACTGGGATGGTCCAGATCAAGTCAAGCTTGAAGAGCAAAGATTAGGGGGAGAATCGTGAAAGTGCTCTTTGCTTAGGGGTAAAGCCGCATGGCTGTGTTCACTTTGGTATACAGAGTAAAAGGGAAACGGTAGCAAGTAAAATACAAGGGTCACTGAGTTACCTATGACTATGAGGCTATGAAAACTATTACCCCTTGTCAAATATTACCATGATAACAAAACCGAATTAGCATTAATTTGTTAGTTAAACCTTTATCAGCATACCATCACGCGGAATACCGATCTCCGGTATATCCAGTGGGTCTATCCCTGATTTGATTATCAAGGATTCTGGTTTCGATGTCACCCTCAATATATTACCACAGAGCTGAAATAAGGCATGAATGAAGATAACACGGTACAGAACAAAGATAAATCCAGTTTACAACACCAAGATATGCTATGTTTATATGTTGAGAGGAAGCATGAAATCTTTGTATTTGAATTTTTGAATCAGATACTTCTTCACCAACGGTTTTGTTCCTGCTGTTGCTGCCACAATAGCTTCAAAATGCGTAACCATAAAGATCATGATAGTGTGTGTCTGGTCATGATAAAAATTATATCCATGTTTGTTCATCAGCTTTAGCTCCCTTGGATAAAACAATGCTAGTTCAGAGCAGTAGAGATAATCTTGCACAACACCTATTCTGAAACCTGAATTACTATCATCACTACGATTCTATGATTAATGGGAATCAGTTTCACAACTGATTAAAATGCATGCATCATCATTCAAATGAAAAAAGAAAAACACAACAAACTTCAAACACTAATCATAAGGGAGAAGCAAGCCATGGAAGACAGGATATCAACCCGGTCCTGTGCAACAGACAACCAGTAGACATTTCGATTTCAAGTAGAATCCTGACAAGTTACGAACCAACAATTGGTTATGCAACAACATGTCCTATATTAACAAAACAGTGTGCATACCATTATCACTTTCCAAAGAGCAGGTTCATGACACCCTTGAAGACATGCCCCCGCTTGACGGTGCCGCTGCGCACTGCCTCCTCGTCCAACGTGAACCCCTTCTTCTTCATCATCTCCAGCAGAGCCTTCCCCTCTTCCACCTTGTCCATCCTGACGTGCGCCTCAAAGGCAGCCAGGCACGTCTCCACATTGGGCCGCATCCCACGGTCGAGCATCTCCAGCAGGTACTTGCCTGCCTCTGCACACCGGTCGCTCGCCGCAAGCCCCTTGATGAGCACGGCCATGGTGTACGCGTTTGGCGCTACCGCGCTGGAGAGCATGCGCTTGTAGGTCCGCACGGCGTCGCGCCAGTGGGCGGGGCCAGCATTCGCGTAAGCCTCCAGGACGGCGGTGTGGGCGACGACATCAGGCATGGCGCCCTTATCCTTGATGACCGAGAAGAGAGCCAACGCTTCGTGCGTGAGCCCGTCCTTGGACAATCCGTCGAACATCTTGATGGCATAGTCGGTGAGCCCTCCGGCGCGCATCCGGTGGAAGACCTCCTGAAGGTTGGTGGGGTCGGGTGGGTCGGCCACGGCGGGCTTCTTGCTGAAGGGGTCGTAGGGCGGCGGCAGAATGGGGTTCTTTGCCGGGGATGCCGGTGGAGGTGCGGGGGAACTCTCGTCGTCGTCGGACCAGTCGAAGGAGGCGGGGCTGTTGGTGTTGGGGCTGCGGTTCGGCGGTGGGGAAGCGGTGGAGGAGAGGAGGCGGCGGGCAATGGACAAGGCGGTGGAGGGGGGCGGACGGAGGAGGCGGCGGACTGCGGCGGTGGCCATGGGGGGAGGGAGAGGCGGAGCACTGCGGCGGTGGTCTGAGTCCGTGGGTTCTACTCTCACAGGGTACCAGACAGACTACCGATCCTTGGACTTGTAGGCCGTCGGATGGCAAGCAAGCACACGGTGGCCATCGGATCTGGTAGTACAGCCCGGACGCG